AAATCACAATGTCCAAGAGTGTTTTGAAGAAAGCCATGAAAACATTTTTCTTTATATTTTTCCTTTTTTATTCAAGAATTAGTTTATATCACCCTGATGCAGAATGAGATCACTGCTTAATGGGAAGAGACAATAGCAACACATTTTCCCCCAAAGACCACACCCTGTGCAGGCACTGAACTTATGTAGCTGCATCCCTTTTATTAACCAGGGAGTTAGTGTGTGTGGCCCTGATTCGGATCAGGCCAGCATGCAACAGGAGAAGATGATTAAACCTTTCCCCATCCTGGCAAGAATTTAAAAAGAAACTCACTGGAGGTTGTTTTTGTTAACATATCTAGTTTGACCCTTAGCAAAAGCCAACTTAGACAATGTTAAGTCCATCACTGTCCTTTATAAGCTTAGTTTTTTTATTTAGTAAATTGCAGTTGAAGCAATTAGTGCAGAGAAATAGGGTTTCATTCTCTGGCCTTTCCCAGTCTTGATCTAGAATTCTCTCCCACTAACGTTGCTGCTGTTTAGTAGCACTTCCAACATTGTGCATGAGTGTGCACCTGCCATTTTAACCCTTTCACCTTCCTATCTTGGTTTATAAACATGCAGGATACAAAGGGGGTAGAAAGGGTATCTTTCCCATTATTCTTGCAATGGAGGACAGTGACTGTATAGCAGTCATTTTCTGTCATAAGGCAAAAAATCAGCAGACTTAAATTGATAAGTACATGGTGCAAAAAGTAGAGGAGACACAGCTGAATAGGTGGGATTGTCTCTTACTCTACACTTTATTTTAGTGAGCTTCCTTTGAATATTTTTCCCATTTTTCTCTCCCATTCCCTTCTCCTCCTCTTATTCAATACTACAATACCCCTCCTTTGGCACAGGTACTTATTCCTCTGCAGTTCTCTGACATGGGGAGAGAACAGGTCTTGGTGTATTGGCTGAGATTTCCTCTCTGCTTTCCATCTCCTAAGGCAATGTTTTTGTTCAGAAGTCAACATTTTCCGTATCACATTGCCTAATCTGCAAGCATTCTCATACCGTAGAAAGTGCACCACAATTTGGTTTTCTACTTGCCACAGCAGTGTACAATGCTTTTTATGTAGGTTTTAGAATTTTTCACATCCTAGTCTCTCTTTGTAATCTACCTCCTGCGTAAAGCTATAGTGGCCCATAATCTCCAGGAAGGGCCTCCATTCCGCTTCTCAACACAGAATGCCCTAACTCTCTTTTGCCCCTGCTTCTTCCCTTTCACACTGTTCTCTTCCTGCAGCTACAGCACTGCAAGCCTAGAGCAAGGAGAAGAGGTTTTAAAACAACAGTTATAACCATACACTTACTTGTGCTTGAGATTACAATGCAGGCAATTACACAGAATCAGTCTGGTAACAAAGATCCAGTATGCAGAGAAAACAGATTCGTCCTCCAGATTCTCTGAAACCATTGCCAATTTTCCAACCTGCACTTGTAGACACAGGATAATGAAGCATCTTTAGAGTTGAGTTTGATGCCAGCTGCTTCAGAGAGAGAGAGGAAAGTAGCATGGTTGCTTCCCTGGTGACTGAAAAACTAGCTGCAAGCAGATTTGTGGTCCACCACTGGGCCCTTCCTCACAGAGACAGTGTAGACTTCTATGCTTGAGACAATGGTCAATTTCATGTGACTTTCTGCAAGTCCAGACAGAGCTACCTTTGAAATTATATCTTCTGTAACTGGGTCAGTCATTCAACACAAGGACACTGTTATGTGGTAGTCAATCAAACCAAAGAAGTTTGGCAATCACTGCCTACAAACTTGCTTTAAACATGCGTTACTTTCCCCCCAGTACAACCTTTGAAGTGAGTAAGTCTACTGTGTGCAAAATTTTCTGAGAGTCTGTGTGCATAATCAATGAACTATACCTAGTGGGAGATGTGATAAAGGTGTGAGATGAGAGAAAAAATATAAAAGGTTTCTGAAATCTTGGGTTCCCTTAGGCAGCAGAGGCCTTGGATTACAGACATGTGCAGGTTTTAGCCTGCTTCCAAAAAGGACTGAGGAGGACTACAGTAAAAATTGTTTTATAGTGAGGGGCTCCTGGCACAAAGAAAAGGCTTCTAGATGTTTATGCTGGAGTTTGTGGGTGGAGTCACAATACAAACATTTCCTGGAATTCTCCTTTCGCTGACAAACAGGACAAAAAAGTCTTCTTTAAATGCTACCCAAGATTATTGATGGAAACCCCATAAAGGCCCTGATCCTGGGTGAGCAGACTTTTGCTTTGCAATCAAGGTTCATGGCACCGTACTGTACCCAAACCACCAAAACAGAAGAACGTTAGCCATGCCAGGCAATTGTAGAGCATACCTTTGGATTGTTAAAGGCATGATGGTAGCCCCTTCACATCCTGCTTGGTGTAGAGGAAGGCATAATCTCAGATATGACTGTGGTATGTTGCATCCTTCACATTTGCAAGATGAGACATCATGTGCCAGAGGAGAACACATAACTGCCTGAACCTGGTGAAGAAAATGATGCTTTGTCTATCAACACTCACCCAAACCACACTCCTGCACCCATTTAACCCACCCATGGAACCTGCAGCAAGGCCTGAGCCATGCAAGACCCACACAACCATCTCTCAATGGAGCTGGGATAGCCGCTCACACAAATGCAACCAATAGACCAAAAGTCTATTGCTTCCAGTGTACACACTCAACCGTCATGGAAGTTATAATGGTAGAGTGTCCTTTCAGGAATTTGTATCATACAGCTAACATTATGCTGGAGATCTGGCAGAGGTGCATTATTTGTTTTCCCCAAGACAGTCTTTCTTTCACCCCTGAATGCTTATTCTGCATTGTTTCATGCAATATATTATGAGCAAATGTGCACATGAATAATTCTATCCCAGGTAGCAACTACCTTAGACTAAGTAGCACATGCAAGAGAGCTTTATTCAGCATTTGGATCCATGACTAAATGAGCAAAAAAGTCTGGAATTGTTTGGGAGGAAGACCACTTTGTGGATGGCCATGTCTTTGAGGCAAAACAACTTGCTCTTCACCATAAGAATGAAATACAGTCTATCTTAAATACAATAAACTGTACTTTAGATATGAGAAAAATCTCATTAGCTAACAAGTGCCCTTCAGAAATAAAAACATGCTTTAGTGTAAATGAGTTGCTCTTCTTGCCATGGATTGCTTTTCACTGAGAATAATTGCCCATGTTATAATGCTGATCAAAGTGGCTTTCAACAGGAAGGGTGGAGACTGCGCCCATTGGAGTGTGCAAAGTGTGGCATGCCATGTCGGTGCTCAAGAAGGCACGCATGGTGTGGAAGCAGGAGGCAGAAAGACTTCCCTTCGTGCAGAAAGAAAGGACTGGGAGGCAAAGGAGAGAAACATTATACAGGGAAAAAGGCAGTTGAGGCTTCAGGAAACAAAGTAGGTGGCAAAGCTGTACAAGAAGTGCAATGGCATGGAGAGGTGGGGGAGCTGCCCTATTGCCTGACCACAACAGCATGAGGGAGGGATAATGGAAAGGCAGAGCATATTCAATTGATCAGATATGAGCCCAAAGAAGATGGGAGGGGCATTCAAATAATCAGCAGGGGATTCCTGAGCAGGAGCTTTTTGGAAGGGAAGAAGCACTACTTTCAAAAACATTTTTGCAAAGATGCAATAAGATGGGAGAGGGTAGGGGGAGCTGACATTTTGATTCAGAAGCAGTTAAAGCAGGGAGAAAGCAGGTAAAGACCATGGAAGGGACATGTGGGAGGAGAGAGTGTTGCAACAACCAGGGGTTCTTATGGGGAAGTACGTAACTGGAAGACAGACTGGGAAAGCGGGTGTGGAAGAACAAGCTAGAATGATCGTTTGGAGCAGGAAAGGGAAAACACGCCTAGGAACATAGCAAGCTAATCTAAAAGCACACGCTGTAGCAAAGAGTGATGCATGCTGGGACTGGATTTCATGTGCAGTGGTGGTCACCACTGGTATATGTGCTGACCACTGGAGGTGGGAGGGGAGGAAGAAAACTACAATCATGAACAGACCATGCACTCGTCAGTTGGGCAAATCATGGTAAGATCATGGTAACCAAGCAGGTTGATGGTTGTTACATACACACTCATGTAACACAGAGAAATGTTTAATTGATTCATGCAATTAAATCCTTAAATGCATTTTAAATCTTTAAATTAAATCTTTAAATGATTTTTTCCTCTTTCTTCTGGGAGAGATTCCCCTTTGGCCCTATGGAGAAAACTCCACTGATATACAGATACATAGATTCCAATATATTTTTGCATAATTAATAGGACTAGGAAGCCCACTTGGAAAGGGCATCTTTTGCAAAACCATATGCTAGGATGTTCATCTGGCCTTGGGACAGCAGGCACTTCTGAGGTCGATGAACATTCTGCAGTCATTTTGGCTGCAATTATATGGTGGATGGAAGCTTGCCAACAGCAAATGTGAAAAGGTCTAAAATGTCAGTAGCTTCCTCTGTGTGTTTGAACAAAGAACATTTGCAATTTATGAAGCATCTCAGAGAAGCTTTGCAGATAATGAGGAACATCGAATGAAAAAGGCAAATGATATAGTGCAGGAATGCAGAACGTCTTGCAGGCAGAGGTCTGAATTCCATTTTGGAAAAGCTTTTGAGGACTGTGTTTCATTGGTGGGAAGGATCAAGGGGGAAAGGCAGGGTAAAAAAATCCAAACATGCAAATATTTCATTTAAAGCTCTTATTGCCAATAACTAAGCCTATGGGGAAGCATTTCAACTTTCCATAATAGGGTAAAGGTACAAGTACTGGAGAACCACCAAACAATCACTGTTGGACAAAAGGGGTATGTAGAGGGCCAGGCTAGGGAGGCTGTACTTGGGCCACAGGCCTGAGGTTCTGCATGCCCAAAACACACGTACGCATGCTACACATGTGATGTCCAGTGTCCTCTCTTCTCAGGTCTGCCTGTCACAGCTCACGTCTCCACATTCTCCTCTGTGTTTTGCAGAACACTTGAAAGAGAAGCTGGAGGAATATATGGCCCGTTTTGTCAAAGTGAGAATTGTGCGCACCAAGAAACGAGAAGGACTCATTCGCACCAGGCTACTTGGAGCTTCCATAGCTAAAGGAGAAGTCTTGACCTTTCTGGATTCCCATTGCGAAGTTAATGTGAACTGGCTACCTCCTTTACTTAGTAAGTGCTTATAATAACATTAGTTAGAATCTTTTTGATAGCAGAAATAAGTGTGATGAATCCACTTATTACACACTGTGCATCTCCCAATAATTTTATCCAGAACTACCTGCCATTAGACCTGTGGCCTTTTTCTTAAATTTGCACTTCTAACCTGGAAGAACTGAAACTTGCCAGATTTGTAATGCAAGTATAGCTGCCAGGAAATAACTCATGGGGACTTACAGCTCAGCAAACATGTTTAGAACGGATCATTTGGGTTGAATTTGGCACTAAAAATGTTAGTGACCCTCCAGTGGAGCTGCAGTCAGCTTCATTTGGCTGGTTCTAAATGCATATATTTGGTCCCCTGTTGTGACATTTCTGTAATCATTTGTTTCTATCATTATGATGAGCTTTAAAATATGAATATTCCCCAGTGTGAGTAAATTTAGTTTCCAGCCTACAAGCAAAGACTTGCCCATCTTGGTGCCCTCCAGAAGTTTTGGAATTCAACTCCCATCAGCTTCAGCCAGTGAGGCTGTGAGTTGTTATCCAAAATATATATAGGGTACCAGGCTGGGTAAGGCTGAGCCACAACCGTAAACCACAGCACAATAAAAACTGAGTAGACTGTACTGCACAGTTGAGTGATTCTGATACATTTACCTAGAACATTTTTCAGATTTGATACAATATTTTGATTTCTTTTCAATCCCGTAGTTCTAAGTGCAACACCAGGGAAGCTGAAAGCATTACAAAATTGTTCATGCACAGGGATTGTTCTTTTTTGCCTACTACATTTCACTGAATTGTTTCTTGTAGTAAACATATCCCATGCCTTGGAGTGCATTCAAAATAACAAATGCAGAAAGAGTGACTCGGTATTGACTGCTGTGTTAGATTCCAGCAATAAGCAACAAAACTCCATTAGTCCTAGGCAAAAATGCAGCTGGTCAGAAGCTTTCAGTGGTAGCTCTCAAGATTCTAACTCCAAAACCATTGCGCATTATGCCATTCAACAATTGCACAGAAATATTGGCTGTGTATGTATCCTGGGGTTGTAACTGGGGATTAATGTCATCTCTTTTTCCTGATACACCTGACTGTTTCCATGCAATGACAGATGAACACATAAAAACAAAACCATCACATCTGTCAGGGGTAGGGAAGCTGGAGAAATCTACAACAGATTAAAATGAGCTTGCATTTCTATGATTCCAACCTGTGAGTTCCAGGGTGAACTAGATCTTTCTAGGACCTGTGGATTCTGCCAATTCTTTACTTTGGAGGGGGTCACACAAATTCACAATTGGGCAGGTGTGCATTAGCACTAATTAGTGCACTAATTAGTGCAAATGCAGCAAAATTTTCATACATCCCTAAAAAAAATCTAATTCTGTCAATGAGCAGATGATGGAATGAAAGATGCCTGACAATTTCCAAATTACAGATGGAGGGGATGAAACAAAATTCATACATTCCTAGTCAGGGTTGTTGAACCTCTTTCAGCAAGAGGACCAAACTCAATTTCGGAAAAGCTCTTGGAGACCATAGACCCACAGTGGGTGGGGCTAAAAGCAAAACAGGAAGGCTCCAAGTTGAAATGCTTGAGGAATCTGTTTCTGTGATGGGAAACTGGTGGATTCCCTGGGTTTGGCTCCCTGGACTCTGTAGCCAGAGTTTATGCAGCACTCACCAGGAATCACGCACCCATACCATCACTGTGCAAGTGGCATCCCTCTTCTTCATCACATGCAGCACCGTACATGATGCAGAAGAAGGTTGCCAGTTGCACATTCTTAATTCCACAGACTTTCTCTTGGTACATCTTGCTTGACCAGGCCAAGCACAAGAGAAATTCCACAAATGCTAAAGGGACAGATTCCACAGAGCTCCATCACAACCCTCGGGTCAAGGACAAAGGGAATGAGGCCCAAAATGCTAGTGTATTTTAGCTTGAAGCGCTTACTGTCACTAAGTGTTGGAAGAGGCGTTGTAGAATCCGGCAGTGGGGAATGTGAAAAAGGCGGGAAACAACCAAATGGCCAGTCAGCAGGGGAACGGGTGTGGCCATTTGGAAAACTCAGGTGGGTTTGGACCCCAGGCAGTCCAGCATTGGCTCATGGGGCCAAGGTTCCAAATCCCTGGGATGTGTGTCCTGGTGGACTCCTTCACCCATTACATTTTTAACTCCAGATTAATACAGAAATTATGGGTGAGACATGTTAACATGGCACCAGCCAGAAAACAATCTTCTCTGATTCTGCTCTCTGCTTTCTACTGCTATCTGAATAGGAATTATATCACAGTCAAGTATCCATATTCTAAGGACAAGAATAAGCAGCATTTTCTCAGCATGTGCACACTTGAAACTGAAATGAGCATTTTTTGCTTTTTTTATTTTTGCTTGCTAGCTGGCTCCTGAGGTGACAGATTGGGGACAGCTTAGAGCAGCAAAGTGACAGAGATACAGATGACTTGACTCTTGCGGGTCTCCCTGGGATGTGTCTCTCTTTGAACAACCATAATTGCTTCTAATCACTGGCCGAGTGCATCAAGCCTGTTATAGATAGAAAAGGTTGATGCAGATTTGAAAACTGAAATGATTTTAGGGCCATGGGGAACTGCCTCGTCAATCTTCAAACTTAAAAAATAAAAAAAGAACAAGAACAAGCCAGCGGAATTCACTCTGTGGTAATGTGATAGATCACTTGACTGGACCTGCCGTTTTGTCTTTCCTGCTTTCATCTTTCAGACCAGATTGCGCTAAACCATAAAACCATTGTGTGTCCCATGATCGATGTCATTGACCACAATCACTTTGGCTATGAGGCACAAGCGGGGGATGCCATGCGTGGAGCCTTCGACTGGGAGATGTACTACAAAAGAATACCAATTCCGCCTGAGCTCCAGAGGACTGATCCCAGTGACCCCTTTGAGTAAGTAGCCGCAGCAGCACCAGCGAACATTGGAACGAGACACAACAGGCGGCGGTTGTGAAAACTCTGGCCACCACAATAGGCCAAGGGTCTTCTGGGCAAATTAACCTCATATTAAAGACAGCACACAAAAGCAGCAACAAGCAGGAGTGTGGTGGGAAAGGTCAAGCTGAGGAAACTCAAAGGCTGGGCGATGAAGCTACACAGAATCCCACTGATGCAGTAGTTTGAGCAGGAGAAAATCAGCCAGCAAAAGGTTCAAGCTCTTTGCAGATAACAGGACCCACAAAACAATCATGGTAGAGCATTGGGAATAAATGTATTTCTGCAGATCCTCTTTACTATTCCATAGAGTAGTATTTGAAGTGACATTAGTTTATTATTTCTTGGCTAGAGATGGATGCAACAGAGGTATCAAAAGGGAGCCTGCTTTCAGCTAGCGAAGGCTCTGTGTATGATTGATGTGGTTGCTACTGTATATATCTTACTGTAATTTAAACACAGGGGTATAAGGCAGAACAGTATCCAGCTGAGTTGTGTATAATCTCCGCTAAGCCAGTGTCTTATTCCTGACATCACACAGCTCAGATAATTCACAGTGTCTCCCCAGTCTCCACAAAGTCAAGCCCATTTTTATTTTATGGTATCTTTGCCTGTCATGTGAAAAGGAATCCACCCTCCCCAGCCAGTAAATAAAGGAGGGGGAAGTAAAGCTGGGGCTGGCTCGCTCAAAACCCCAGCCCAGTTAAATTGAAAAGCTGGCTGGGGGCCGTCAGACTTTTTTCGGACTAAGCATGCATAGGATTGTGTCCTAAATCAGGAAAAGTTTAAGATGTTCCGAGTAAATAGGGGCCCATATACAGAACCCCAGTATAACTGCATGGTATCCTATGATAGGGGTAGACCAGATGCCTGAATTGGTTATCACTGGGATCAGGCAAGAGGCATCACCAGTATCTGATGTTAAACCCCCTCTGATGGTGATTTTAAACTACAGCAATAACTGCATTGAGAAGGCAGAGACTCCCTAGGCCAGTGATGGCAAACCTTTTAGAGACCGAGTGCCCAAACCAATCCAAACCCCACTTATTTTTCACAAAGTGCCAACACTACAATGAAACCTGAAAACTGAGGTTTTAGTTTAGAAAAAACACCTCACAGTCAGTTCAAGCATATATTCTTTGCAGTGCACTGAGCGGCCATGCGAAAACTCGGACGTGTCACGGCTAATGAGTCATGGCTTGTGACGCCATCGCCTGTGCCGCTACTCCTTTCCAAGCGTGCGCATGGCCCCTGTGTGCACTGTTATCCAATGCTTGGCTGCTGGGGCGATGCTGGGGGCGACTTGGCTCGCGTGCCAACAGAGAGGCTCTGCGTGCCCACTGTGGCACACGTCCCATACGTTCGCCACTACTGCCCTAGGCTGTGCAGATATTCCAGGGCAGCTCATGCTGACCAAATGTTTAGCTGCACATCATTAGGACAATAGAGAACTCTACAAGATAAATCTGGGCCCAAGACAGACTGAGAAACCAGGGGGTCGGTTATTGCTGCAATCGTGGGCTAGAGCAAGGGAAGGGGTTGAACCATAGGCCTGTTGGCCAAATCTGTAGGCCCCAATCTGTCATGAGCCATGTTTCTCTCTCCAGCAATATCAGTCTCACCAGTGTTTATTTTCTTATTGATCTTTATTGTTACATGTGAGTCTCAGAGCATGTACAAGTGAAGTGTGGAACCCTTTCTACAGTTCATTTCCCAGAACTTTCTTTAAAAATCCATCTGTGTCTTGCCCCCAGGGGAGGGGTACTGTGAACACAGGCATGCCTTTACTCCTTCCTGTGTTCCCCTAATTGGGCTTCTTACCAATGATAGTGAACAGCTGGGTCTACTGCTTCAGGGGGCAGGTGTTCTGCATCAGAGAGACTACCCCCTTCAGTGTCCCCTCCCTCAAGCTATAATTCATCCATGTTCCCATGGCCATGTTGACTGGGACCTCCTGTCTGCCCCGGTGCCAATCTTTCCCTCAACTAGCTCCTGTTGAGTCTCGCAACCTTGAACTGCAGCTGGAGTCTGGGCTATTTCAAAAATGGTCCCATCATCGAAATCCAAATCATCAGAACAAGCAGCACAAGGAGCCTCCCACAAGCCTGCCTGAAATTTGACAGGGTGTCCATGCATGACACAATCCAACCTTCCAGGATTTCTCAGATGGTTTCAGCCCATTTCCTTGGCCCTGCCCCTTTCCCTTGATCATAGATTTTTTGGGGGGAGTTCTTGACTTTTATATCATTTCCTCCCCATTCTAAAGATTGCAATGCCTTCCCAAAAGCTTAATTGCTGGCAATAGAAGCTTAAGCTAGTATGCCGCCATGTTTTGACCCTATCCCTTTGACCCTATTTGCCTTTAGCCTCACCCATTGCTGAATGACCCCAAGAGCATTGAAATTGAATTTGGCCTTTGTGGTAAGAGTTTCAGTGCTCTTTTCCTGGTCCCCACATCTCCAAGAGAAATTTAAAGGGACCATACCATATTCCCAAGTGTAGTTGAGAGGCCTCCTGCTACCCCTGGACATGCCTGATAACAAATATGTCCGTTCTCCCACCACAACCACACACACACACACGCACACACAGACAGACATACCCCAAGCTCCATGTGGTTCCAGGGATGAGTGCCCAGTCAGAGGATATGGTTAACTCCTTGAGTGCCGAGGACAGAGGAGGGCACTTTGACCTCTGAATGGCAGCTTGAGTCTTGAGGCCACATGGCTGGAATTTAGTTTTGGGTTTTTTCTGTATGTTACTTAGTTCTCTGATGCACCTATATGAACCACTCAAGAACACCAAAGCAATTTCACTACCAGCCTTAAAACCAAAATATTGTATTTGCCCATTTTCTAGAGATTATTATTTCCTTAGGCAAAACATTGTAGACCAGAGGTTTACTCATTTCTGATTTACCTTATTTTCCTAAAGTTTGTAGTACATAACTCTTGGAACAGTGAAAAGTGAAACTTAAGAAGGAGATAAACAAATGTTCATTTGTTTAAAAACCCAAGAACAATTAATGTCTCCCTGGGCACATCTAACTTTTAACTTCATTCTGCTACTCAATAAAACCTATGTGCTGCAATAAAGGATGAAGCACACAATTCTGTGGCATTTAAACAGCATCAACATGTCACATATTAAGTCTTGCATATTTAAGTGGCTTCTGAAAGGTCATAGAACCGAATGGAACCTCAAGGATCATCTTAGTCAACTCTGGCACAATAAATTCAAATTAACTGTACCCAGAACCAGGAGTACACAACCTTTTTGCTTGTGGTGTTCCTTTAGGAGCAGGGACAGGTGTATGGCTGTATACACACCCCAGTCTTCTTGATTCCTGATAGGGATTGTTTTTTCCTCACTGCTACTGCTAGTGAAAAACTGAATGACCTGAATGACCTCTGGGGCAGGAAACTTGGGAGAGGCAGCAGACAGAGTAGAGGGCAGGGCACCCTTGAGGCTGCAGTTAAAGCCTATAGTTCCCCCAGCCCATTTTTCATCCTGTCTAAAAATTTAGATGGATTTATAGGAAACAAAATGGCCAGGCATCAGCAGATTAACGTTGACTGGTAAACTGGTTACAGTCAAAACTACCATGTATATGTTTTGATGTCCACCCAGTGAAATCCTTTCAGTGTTTGCTCAGTGCTAAACAATATTGTTTTGTGTCATGTTTTACAATGTTAGAATGTTCCTAACATTGCTTTAGCCTCAGCTATCTTTACCTAATAAGAGATAGGATAAACTGCTGAGGCAAAGGAAGAAGTGAGACGAGGGAAACAGGATATTCTCAGAAGATAATCACAACAGAATGAAATGAATACTTTGGGAATGAGGGTGGTGGAGGGGAGCTGGTTCAGAGCTTGCTACTTTTCTCTTTCTAATACTGTGTGCAAGCCAAGTTCCTAAAGCCTCTAAGAGAAAATTAGTTCCATTTGCATGTTAATGCAAACTTTCCTAATTTCACACTTTTGAACTAATGTGTGTACCGAAAGCCAGTTACCCTTAAAATGTACAGTTCAACAAATTTTGCAATGGAGCTCTCTAATAAAAAAAATTACTGTATTGTAGGAAAGTGCATACAAAAATGTGCGTAAGGAAAAATAATGTTTAAAATACATTATGTTAGCAGAATTGCTTGCAAAACTACATATTTTCACACAAACTAAAACAGCAGACACAATGTTTAGAGCAAATGGAATTTTTGACAGAGAAATTTCTCAAAGGTTGGGACAAACTAAACTTAACTGACAACTTGAAAGAAATGGAAAATGGCAGATTTCAACCTAGTTTTGAATGCTGCATTTCAAAAGAAAATCCCCACCCATGAGCTGGACAGCATAAAGAATATTCTTGGTTAATTGTGTGGCCCACAAGCATTTCAGGACATTTTTACATTTTAAAAAAATCCTAAAAGGCTTGGACTTTGATTGTAACTGCCGCATGATGGGTGAAGTTTAACCTTTCCCTTTCCATTGCTTATGGAAATATCTCTAACACAACTAATTTTGTGGGGAAGAGGATGCTGGAATTAGTAGCATTGTAAGTTTTTATTTCCTTAAGTGTAACTGTAGCACAGTGGGAAACACAGCTAGGGAGGGAAGGGTTAACTCTGCAAAGTTATCTCAGTGAGAATCTCCTGGACATAGCAAGAATTAAAAGCAACTGGCATGGCTGTAGGCATGCAAATAATGGGGCATGTAGTTTGCCACTGAGCCTCAGTCCTCTAGCTGTGTGCTTTCAGATAACTGAATCTTACATGCTACCTTGCTTGATAGATCCTGTAACAGGAAAGGAGGCTTTGAAATGGAGCTCTGAGCAAAGAAGCTGTTAATACAAACAACCCTTATTAGCAACATAAAAAGAGGAAGTAATTATCAAGAATAGAACTAAAGTCACTCTTTTGTAAATTTTCTTTGATTTTATGATAAAGACTTAATTTGGTTCTT